GTGTGTGTGTGTGTGTGTGTGTGTGTGTGTGTTGTATTGTTTCAACGTCCTCTGCAATCAATAACGATAATACAACTGTGAGTTTCTGAGACAATCAGGTGTTTTCTTACTTTCCTGCGCCAGAAATACTGTCAGCTTCAGACTCACACATCCTGTATCACTTCTCCTCTGCACCATCTTCATGCAACACAGTTATAATTGCACACACACACACAAACGCACGCACAGACAGAATCATTCATATCCGTTCAGACGTTTACTGCAGCTGTTATGTTTGTGGCACAGCCTAACTGCAGCGTTAATCATTTCTGCATGGTGGAGAAATCCGCCCATCCCTCTCACCCATCTCACAATTAATCCACATCCTCCACGCTTGGAAGGGTTAACACCGCGAGACGACAAATTATTCCCAACCGTCCAGGAACCCGTGTAAGTGCCTCTCCGCCGCCGCACGGATTGATCGATTGCTTTGTTTATCAGTCATAAAACTATTAACAATCAATCTTTTTTAGCCCCTTTTCTTCCGTCTCTCTTCCCGGAGCAGTTTTGTATATGGATGATTATACATTCATTAATGCACGGCTAGTTGTGCGTTAGTCAAATGATCCATGTGCGACTGGGATGCAGTGAACACAGATTACTGCACAGATGCCCATTGAGGAATCTTTTAATTAACAGCATGGTTTACGTCTCAGAGAGGACCTCTTTGTGTCGGGGGGAGCGATGGAGGCTCGGAGTGAAGGATGGAGATGGAGATGGAGGAGGGAGGGAGGGGGTGACCCAATTCTCAAGGGAGCTGATTGAACATGACAGCAATAAAAATAAAATGCTGAGACCTTATGCGTGAGCTGTAACAGGATCTGTTCAGCAGAAGTTCAGCGTGACCCTGCCGGGGTCAGACACCATCTTTGATTTTTTTTTTTTTTGAACTGCAGCTTTAGCTCGGAGCCACGGCTCTGCTCTGTGGATCGACTCCAAGTTTCAAGCTGTTGCATAATGTGTCAGCACACTGCGGAGAGGAGAGAAAAAACACTTGTTGTTTTTGTCTGTGTACTTCAGCTCTTTGCATCTTTGAAGGACATGCGCTCGGATTGTTGTTTCTTCAGTATGTACACGCTGGCTGTCCATCCTCCTGCTGCCCGAACCTCCACTGGCATTGAATAATACATCCAGACATGCTGTCAGAGATCAGTTGACCCTGAAACTATTGGATTTCACATTAAAAGCCCCAGCACCGCAGATGAGTGCAGAGTTCTGCAGACAGTTTTGTTAATCTATGCTCAGACCTTGCCTGAGGGTGCGCGGTGGTGAGGTAAACGTGGCTTGAGTTATGGCACATATATCCATCCAATTACTGAACTTCAGTGTTTTGACCGTGCAAATGAAAGACGAGGGATCCTGAAAACACATACACACACACACACACACACACACACACACACTCGTGAGTGCTCAGGGCAGTGTTTTGTGTACTTTTTTAAAAGATGAGGCCAAACTGCACCAAGGCTAGCATGGAGCTGGCAATAGCCTGGGGTTTAAACTTTTATTTACTTTTATTAAAGCGAGCATCACCCCACAGCCTGTACGCACCGTTGACTAACAGCTCACACCGGGTAATCCCTCCCTACTCGCTTGGAAGCTCTCATAACCGTGTCCTTATTGGAGACTGTGTTCCTTTGGATAGCATTAATTATTGACACTAATGCTCAAGTCTTTCATAATCACTGGGCGCAGATAGAAATAAAAGATTCATCAGTGTGGTGTTGTACTGATGAAAAGCGTTCTTATTGAAGGTAGCATGCCAAGGCTCTGTTTAGGAAGAACAGATGAGCCAAAGAGAGACAGAGACACAGAGTGTGTGTGTGTGTCTGTGTGTGTCTGTGTGTGTGTGTGTCTGTGTATTCCGGTAGGGATTAGATAACATGAGTTCATCAGGTTTACTGTTATGTTTCCTCCCTGAGGCGGATGTGCTGGCATTTGTGTCTGTGGATGACTCTCTCTCACACACACACACACACACACACACACACGCACACTCTAACCTCACTTAACCAGCTGACCTCCCTCCCTCTGCCGTCAGCTCGGCAGCAAAGACACAACAAATAACATGTAATGTCATTTGCCATCCCTCCTCCTCTCTTCTTCTTCTGCTCGTCTGTTAACAGTGTAAATTGAGGTAAATGTAATCTGGAGGCTCGTGTGCCGCCGCTGCAGATGATGATCTACGACCTCTGCCGTCCTGGATTGGTGATGTTTGTTTCTGGTGCGATTACCCTGCAGTCCTGGTTTGAAGCAACTTCACTTCAGCTGCCTCGACTGCGACTTAATGTCTCCGCGCCAGTGGTAGCCTTGGTCGGAGGCATGACGTGTTCGGGTTGTCTGCCTGTACGTATGTTCATCCCTCCTTACATGTCTGTCCCATTCTTGTGAACACAATAACACCTCAGATTTGGCACAAATGTCAACTCGGACTCAACGATAAAGTGATTTGATTTCGGTGGTCACAGGTCAAGGTCACTGTGACATTGACATTCTTTTGAATGCAACAACTTTTGGGAGTTTTTTCAAATTTGACACAAACGTCCCTTTGTTCTCATTGATGAAGTGATTAGAATATGGGGGTCAAAGGTCAAGGTCACTGTGACATAACATTCATTCTTATGAACATAATATCTCAAGAAAGCTTTGAGGGAATTTCCTCAGATATGGCACAAACATCCACCTGGACTCAACAATTAACTGATTCGATTTTGATGGTCACAGGTCGAGGTCACTGTGACATTGCATCCATCATCCATCTCATTCTCGCTAAAGCAATATCACATCTTGAGGGAATTTTTTTCAAATTTGGCACAAACGTACACGTGGACTCAACAGTGAACTGATTGGATTTTAGATGGTGAAAAGTCAAAGGTCAGTTTGACCTTGCATATGTCTCATTCTTATGAACGCAATATCTCAAGAAGGGCTTGAGGGAATTTCCTCAGATTTGGCACAAACATCCACTTGGACTCAACAATGAAGTGGTTCGATTTTGGTAGTAACAGGTCGAAGTCACTCTTGCATCCATCTCATTCTTGCGCATGCAATAAGTCAAAAACAACTTAAGGGAATTTCTTCAAATTTGGCACAAACGTCTACTTAGATTCAGTGGTCAAAAGTTGAGGTCACGGTGACCTTGTATATGTCTCATTCTTATAT